AGAGGAAAGGTGAGAGAATCTGTGGCTTCTGGTCCTGCCAGGCAAACCCAAATTCGTTTTTATGTATGACATACAAAAATTGAAATTGCTGGAGAAACGCAGCATTGGGAAAGCAGAATTAACATTTTGACTCCAGTGTCCCTCCTTCAGAAGTCATAATATTGACCGTTTTCTCTCCACATGCTGCCAGACCTGCTGAGTTTCTCCAGCTATTTCTATTTTTGTGTTTCAGATCTCTAAGGTCCACCATTCTTTGTTTTATGTTATTTTTATTTGTTTCTGAAAATGACCAGGTTCCTCCCTTAAACGCATTGTCTGGTCCTGAGCTACATGGATCCTGAAGGGTCTGGATGAAATGTTTGTCGTCAGTTGATGGTAATGGGAACTGGTCAGTAGTTTCAGTGCCTTTCAGTTAGTGAGAGGGATAAAAAAAACAGAATTGTTGTTGCTAATTAGGAATTGAGCACATAAACCAAGCTGAAATTTTAGCATGATTTGATTTTTGATTTAAGCTTTATTGTCACGTGTACTCAAGTACAGAAGTACAGTGAAAATTGTGTAATGCCACCACACCTGTCACCATCTTAGGTACTTGAGTACAAGTAGTAACATCGATAATACTTTAGTTTTAACTTTATTTTTCTACTTGTACTAAGAACAAAGTGAAAAGTTAACATTGCAGTCCTTCCTGGTATTAAGTGGAAAAATAAGGGAATAGAGGTTAAAGTTCAACAGTCTTTCTTATGTGCAGTCCCTACAAGGGCTCGAACTCCTTTGCTTTGGCCCGGTCTCTGGGAAACCTCAGGCTTCCTCAATGCTATTGATAAATGGCACTTCAGTTTCTGCAGCCCTCTTTTAAATGCAATGTTAAACCAAATCCCATTTGCCATTTCAAGGAATACCAAAAATCCTGCAGCATTCTTTCCTGGTGTCCTGGACAGAATTCATGCCTCAAACAAAATTACTGAGAAAACAGACTAACTGCTGATTTATTTTGTTGCTGCAACCTAAACAACAGTGATTACATTGCATGGAATTCAACTTGGGACGTCTTGAGCGTGTGACAAGGTTGTAGAAATGTTTGAGCTCTGTTGTTCTGCAGGAAGATGACTTCTTTTTTCCCTTTTCTCCAGACTGGCCAGGCATCGGATGATTGTTGAGCCTGAGGTAGTGATGGAGGCAGAATCTGAGGATGAGGGCGAACCTTGGCATGTAGATCGCGAGGACACCAGTGAAGAGGAAGAGGAGGAAGTGGACGATGAGGTGAGTATGGATCTCATTAGTGTCTCAGTAACAACCAACAGGAAACCAATGAAATTTTGAAAAGAGGGCAGACTCGAGCATCAGTGCTGGAAATGAAGTGCTTGTACACAGACTGGATGGAGGCTCAGTTATAGGCCTTGTGCAGACCCCAGACACATTGCCAGAAGCACAGGCCTGATATTGACTAGTCTGGACTTTAGGAAGTTATTTCTTTCATGTTACTGGATAATGACAGTTGAGGAAAGGCAACACAGAGTGGTAGAAGTAAATAACTTTGACCCAGTTAAGGGGAAGCTAAATAGACACAAGTGAGAAAAGGAATAGCAGGATGAAGTAAGGTGGAGCAGAAATACTGACATTGACCTGTTGAGCTGAACCTGGTGGGCTAAGTGAGTTTACCCCAAACTGCCATGGTGAGATTGAACATGTATCAAGATCACTAGCCATGCCCACTGGATTACAAAACCAATAGTATAATCGTTCTGCTCCATCCCCTGGTCCAATCCTCTTTCCACGTGATCTGTAACAATCCGAATTCAGCCAGTAACATCGGATGCTGTTCAGGTTTTGGTTCTCTGGCCCTGGAGCTGTTTTCCCAGTTGTTTAGTCACCCAGGATGTAGATTTTGGGAGTAAAAGCCTGTAAGGTCCAGCTGCCTTTACTAAGATGGCTTACTGCAGCCAAGATAGATAGAGGGTGTTGCTTCAGCCTCCCACGAGCAATAACTGGGACTCCAGCTATTCTGGTCGTTGCTGTGCTGTGATTAGGACGTAATGCCTCCCTGCTTCAAATTACCTGTCCAGATTAACGCCTTCGGCTGCTTAAATGAGGAAGTAGGAGAGAGGCAGCACTTCAGTAACTACATGTTGGATAGGTTGTCGTGGCTGGACAAGGCTCGGAGTGGAGGAGGGAGAAACTGATTTATTGTCAGATGAATCTAAGGAAGGCCTCATCGTTCAAAGCATTTGCAGCACAAACAAGGTATTCAATCCAACTGGCCTACTCAAATCTTCATCCATCTTCCTTCATCTCAGAACATGTTTCTCTTTTACTTCTACCTCACATTTCCTAGATTCCTTTAGACACATCTATACTGTTCACCTCTACCAGTCCCTGTGGTAATCAGATCCAAGTTCTCGCCACCCAGTAAAGATGTTTCTCTCTATTCCCAATTGAATTTTGTGACCACGTGGAGAGCTTTGATCAGTTGGTGAAGTAACAGATTTACAGCTATTTTCCCAATTTTTTGACAGGAAATCGAGCGACGTCGAGCCATGATGAGACAGCGGGCTCAGGAAAGAGAGAACGAGGAACTGGAACTTCTGGAATTGGAGGATGAAGGTCGATCTGGAGAAGAGTCAGAAGAGGAGTCAGAGTACGAAGAATATACAGACAGTGAGGATGAAACTGAACCCAGGCTAAAGCCTGTCTTTATAAGAAGGTATGATCTATGTATAAAACTGGCTAATCTATGTTTCTCTACACTAAGCAATATATGATGGTACACAATGTAATCGGTAAAATTTGTCAATTTAGTCAATACACAGGCTGGCTGATGTTGTAATGGAAGTCTTGTCAAATGAGTAGATTAAGGGAAGCTCTTCTGGGAGTGAAGCTGGACAATTTGAGTAATTTAGAGTGAAATTGACTCTGTTCATCTTTTCTGCACTTTCACCATGAGTGTTTGATGGGGACAGTGTAGAAGAGCTTTGCTATGTATCTAACCACATGCTCTAACTTAGCTGGGAGTGTCTGGGGACAGTGTAGAACAAGCATTGCTTTGTGTCTGGCCCCGTGCTGGCCCTGTCCTGGGAGTGTATGATGGGGTCAGTGTTTTATTCTGTTTTGAACCCCATGCTGTACCTGCCCTGCAAGTGTTTGTTTGGGACACACTGAGATATTGATCTTTCATTTTACTGGATAATTACAGTTGAAAAAGAGCAACACCGAGTAGGTCAAGTAACTGTCATTGCTGTATTTAAGGGGAAACAAGACAGACTTGAGAAAAGAATGAAAGGCAATGCTGATGGAATGAGGTGAAGTAGGATGGAGCAGAAATAGTGACACTGACCTATTGGGCTGAATAAACTAACAGCTGATTATTACCAGTTTGCCCATTGTGGGATCTTGCTGTGCTTACATTAGCTGCTGTTTCCTGAATTTCAACAGTGACTACACTTCAAGTATTTCGTTGGCTGAAAAGTGCCTTGGGGATATAAAATTAATTTTAGTTAATTTCTTTATCTTCAGTTTTGTACGGTGAGCTCATCTTTTCAGGTCTCTTGTTGAACTTCTCCTCCGATTTTCCCAGGAAGGACCGTGTCACAGTGCAGGAACGTGAGGCCGAGGCCATAAAGCAGAAAGAGCTGGAGCTGGAAGCAAAACGCTTGAGTGAGGAGCAACGCAAATACACTCTGAAGGTACTGAGCTTAGCCTGCACTCCCTGTGTGAAATCCTGTGCTGAAGGAAGTCACAAGTTGGGAATCTGGGACACCCTGGAGCAGTTGCATTGCAGACAGCACGTTACTGAAGGGAGGCTCGTGGAATACAGCTGGGTTTTGGAAGCTGTCCAGCTTTTGGGATGGCATTGATGGAGGGAGACAATACCAATGTCTGGGGTGGGTTGTTGAAGACTATTTTAGTGAGGGCGGAGCATCCCATGGTGTGACTGACTGTTGTGGCACCTTACAGATTGTGGAGGAGGAGGCCAGGCGAGAGATCGAGGAGTCCAGGAGAACGCTGTCAGCTCTCGATGCGCTGAACACTGATGATGAGAATGATGAAGAGGAATATGAGTCATGGAAAGTACGAGAACTTAAACGCATCAAGCGGGACAGAGAGGAGCGGGAATCGTGAGTACTGTTTGATCACTAAATAACAAATTCCCATTCCCTAAACCCTTGCAGCAACATCGTCAGCACACAGACTGCATACCCAACTCTCACTGATAGCTGAATCATTATCCCATAATGAAGTAAATCGGTAATTTCTTCAAGCAGCATGTAAGTACATTACTTTCTTTAGTGTGTCTTTATTTATAATCATACAATACTCACTTTGAGTAAAATTAATTTTCTTTTCCCCTCTTCTAATTGTGAGAGAGACAGAGTCAGTCTTGCTCCCCCTCTCCACATGACTGTCTATGTGAATGAATTGATCAGTTTGAGTTTGTAAAGGGTCAGTCATTTCATTACCATCACGT